CCCCGTGCGGAGGCGGGAGGCGAGTGGCTTCCCACGGCTGCGTGCCCGGCTCTCACGCCGGCAGGAGCTCCAGCAAGCTCCGGGGTCTGGCCAAACCGCAGCTCCCGAGGGGCAGCAGCCTCCCGCCGCGGCCCCGGGGACAGCCCGTTCCCAGCTGTGTGGCCCCAGGGATTTCTCCCTTTCCCACGGCGAGGCATACGGGACACGCTGTCCTGGGGAACTTGCTGCAGTTTCCTTCCTTGCAGGGTCTGTAAGGGAAAACAGGAGAGAGCGGAGGCTCCGCGTAGGGCAGCACTCAGCCCCGCTCCCGAGCATCACATCCCAGGGGCAGGCAGGTCTCTGCGGGCACAGCCTCCGGAGGGGGGCCTGTCCGTATGGCACAGCACCAGGCAGGGGGCAGCTGCCTGCCCATGGCCAGCACCTTTGCAGGCACCGGGGACCGAGGAGGGTCCCCCCGGCCGGCCGGGGCCAGCCCAGCACTAGACATACTGCTTTTTGGAGGCTGAGCTCCCGGGGCGGCTGCACAGTTGCTGCTCTGGGGTGGGGGCTTCGGCAGCCATGGGGGCATAGGGGTCCGACAGGGGCCTGTTCTCGCTGCCCAGCGCCAGGTTCTTCTCGTTGTGGAAGTTGGCCCAGTTCTGCACGCTGGAGAGCTTGTTGTAGGCCTGGTAGGATGGCACGTGGCTCTCGGCCATGGGCAGGAAGGGGTAGTGCTTGGGCGGGTAGGGGCCTGAGACCATGTCATCGGCAAAGGCGTCCCGGCTCGGGCCAGCCGGCACCGACACCTTCTTGATGTTGCTAAGCAGGTTCTTGCAGCAGAGGTGGAAAAGCTCCAGGAGGTTCAGGATTAAGGAGATCAGGCCCATCACTAGCATGAAGATGATGAAGATGCTCTTCTCAGTGGGGCGGGAGATGAAGCAGTCCACCTGATGGGGGCAGGGGTCCCTCTTGCACACGTAGCGGGGCACCATGGAGAAACCGTACAGGTACCACTGGCCAACGAGGAAGCCAGCCTCAAAGATGCTCTTGCAAATCACACTGATGATGTACGTCCACATCAGCGCCCCTCGGATCTTGAGCCGCCCATCGTCCGTCATGTAGATCTTGGACATCTTCTTCTCCACGGCTGCCAGGGCCTGCTCAATCTTCGGGTCCTTGCTGTGGATAGCCCGAAGCTCGCTCTCCCGTTGCTTCAGCTTCTCCTCCTTCCGGGAAAGATAGACAACGTGGCCGAGGTAAATCAGGGTCGGGGTGCTGACAAAGAGGAACTGGAGCCCCCAGTAACCCCCCTTCCGGAAAAGATAGACAGCGTGGCCGAGGTAAATCAGGGTCGGGGTGCTGACAAAGAGGAACTGGAGCACCCAGTAGCGGATATGGGAGATGGGGAAGGCTTTATCATAGCAGACGTTGGTGCAGCCTGGCTGCTTGGTGTTGCACACGAAGTCCGACTGCTCGTCCCCCCACACGGACTCCCCGGCCAGGCCCAGGATGAGGATGCGGAAGATGAAGAGCACGGTGAGCCAGATCTTCCCGATCACAGTCGAGTGCTCCTGGACTTGGTCCAGCAGTTTCTCCAAAAAACCCCAGTCGCCCATCTTCTAAGGGAGCCTCGTGCCTCTGCCAGCAGAGGGGAACAAAGTCAATTCTCTGTTTCCACGCTGGAGACCGCAGGGCAGACGGGGCTACCTAAACCCCAGGCTTTTTCAGGACATGCCTGCTGTGTAGAGGGTCCCAGTAAACCCACCGAGGAGCATCCCACACCTGGGGAAGGAGCCAGGCAGGATTTCTGAGCCCAAGAGCGCTCCTCCTATACCCCACTGCCCAGTGCAGAAACACGGGGCTGGGGGAGAAGAGGCACCGCAGGGATTCACCTCCCCCCAGCAGCTCCCAGCCCACAGCACCCATGGCTCATGGTTGTCCCAGCCTCCAGAGCACTGCCTGCAGCGAAGGGCTCGCTGGCCGGCTCGTTTGGGGCTGCCCTGGGAGGTCAGGGCCACAGCCCCCAGAGAAGGGGCACAGCGGGGGCTCACTGGAGCTGCCCAGATTTGCCTCTCCCCCACCCCGCTGCCCCGGCTTTACCGAAGGGCAGAGAGCGGCAGGGGCGCGGGAGGGGCAGCACAAACCCCTGGGGTACTGCAGCCACCCCAGTGCCTATTCAGGGCTCACCCTAAACCGCAGGGACAGTCCCCAGCCAGCTCCCCTGCTGCGGGGCGGGGACC